TGTGCCCTTCTGCTGATGCTGAGATGGGCAGGCCCCTTTAACACAATGGCCTGCTGAAGCTAAAGCAGCAAGATCAGGCCGGAATGCCAGGGAAGGGGTCGGAGAGCCTGTACCTCACCCGGCTGCCTGGGCTTGCCTCCTGACACCTGTGGAGTGATCTGTGCTTTGCACAGCAGAGCTTTGTGCAATCCAGCTCAGTCTTGTCATGGCTGGTAAATATATGACCATCAGAGTCCTGTAGTCCAGTATCCTGGCCTGTTCAATCGCTTGTTCCACTTGTTCTTGACGCTTCTTGTGTATCTAGTTGGCTCACAATGCCTGAAATGAAGATAAAAACAAAACTGAAAATACCCTGGAGCAATTCTGCCAACTCCTGGTTTTTCCATTCGCTTCCTCTGATAGCCATTGGTTTGGGGAGACTTCCCTTTCCTGCTCCAGGCCGTGGGCCTGTGCACAATAGCGCCTGGCTTGTTGCCCATCAGATAACGAGGCTGGCTCTCTGTAGGCCATGGTGAGGACTGGAAAAAGTGAAAGTCTTTGGCTGGAAATAAAAGCTCAGAAACCTTAGCTATTTTCCCCCAGGCCCTTCTGTGTCTGTAGTGCTGGCCTCCAATGAGTTAGTCCCTTCCCTCCTACAAAACCAGGGGAGAGTTCAGTGGAGCTAGCAAGGGAGAGGATGAGTGTTAGCAGGCCGTGTATGTCACACCCCAGGGCAGGCTTACTCTGGACACGGCCTAAAAGATGGGGGCAGTTCAGTCTGTCTAGGGGTAATTTGAACGTACCAATTTGGTCTCAGATTTCATCAGTAAATGAGAATTTTTCTTCACTCAGACCCTTTCAAGAAACATTTTTATTGTTCCAGGTAAAATGTGTAATTTCTTTTCACTGCAGAGTATATTGGTCAGGGTTCAGCTGCACAGAAGAGCAGTCATTCTAGCTTGTTTCAGGAAGAAAAGCTGCAGCGCACATTCTGACTTACGGAGCCACTGGGAGAGGGAAGGGTGCAGGCTTTAGGCTCACATATGGCGCAGCGCTCCTCTGTCCATAGTCGGGAGGTCCCCAGTCCAGAAGTCCAGTGCCTGTCAGCCCTGGTCCGTACCAGACACAGAGTGCCTACACCTCTGTCTGGGCCCGCAGACGGCAGGGATGACAGGAAACTCGGTCTCACACAAGTGCGTCTGACTGGCCCAACCTAAAAAGAGCCTTAGAAATACAGCTTTTAGCCAGTTAGGCTTCTGAAGTACAGAAAGAGATAGTTGACAGGTGGGTTAGATCCTGAGCATAACTCTTATCTGCCATATAAAATGAACAGAATGAATGGGCTTCTACCCTATTTCTACCACTAGGTGTGTCATGTAGATGTGTACCTGTGCCACCAAAAGTAGTTATGAGATGAAATAGTTCGCTCCGTTTTTGCCAGTGAAGAAATTGAGGTGAGCATTTGAATTACCTGATGATTGTCAAAGCCTGATTTGAATCTAACTCCAAAGGGAGGCTTCTCTCGATACATAGTTATCTCTGTAGTCTTCTGCTGCTGAAAAATGTTACCAACATATGGATTGAATTGCCACAGAACTTCTGGGCTATCAAAATGTTTTCTAAAGCCAAAAATGGGAGTCAGGTTGTAGGTTAATATTTGCAAGCTACGGGCTTAATAATGCTCTGTGTTCTTAGTCATGGTGGGGCTTAAGAAAACCCTTTGTCATGGTGCCACTGGAATTTTGTGTTACGAGAGCAAGGGATGTGGACAGGTACATGGGTGTTAATAATGGGGCCAGTTGGAAAGTAGAGTCATTTTTTTACCTTTGGTCCTGGTTTCTGCTTTCCTCCATCCCTTGTCTTTCTTCTGAGCCCTCTGTTGGCCAAATGGCAGTTTGTGTTGCTACCCTTCTCACAAATAACCATGGACAAAACAACTCTGAATTTGGTGGTGTTGCACATAGCACCGTGTTTTCCCTGTACTGTCAAGAAATCCATGTGCTAGCTAGCCTGTCTCCCCATCAGTGGGACCCCTTCTTCTCTCCCCACCTAAAGGGAGCAGTTCAGCAAGTTTTGCCTTCAGGCACTTTGTTGAGCAGCATACTGGTCCTTTTTGGAAATAAATTTTGATATCAAAACTGCATTGGCTGACGTGTCCTGGGAATCACAAAGGCTGCCTTCTAGCCACAGATACTTGATGGCTTTGGGCCTCCGGTTCCCCTCCTGCTCTATGTAAATGATCATCATGCACCTCCACTGCAGGGTTGTTTTAAAAGTTAAATGAGAAATGAATGTTGAAAGAGAAGGATGGGTGGGAGGAAGGAGAGAGGGAAGCAGAGAAGGGAAGAAACCCACACTGGCTGATTATATTGCTTTATTAGTTCACAGCACCATATCCCCAAATTGACATTGAGCTGTTTCAGTTTCTGCCAAGGCTGGGCAGGCTCTGTTCGAAGGCTGATCGAGATTATGTGAGAGACGGGCTCAGGTACTGCTTCACTACAGAACTGTTAGCCTCTGCCCTGTGAGTGAGGTGTTAGAACAGGAAATCCAGAAAAATTCTGTGTCTTTTTTCAGAGCAGTTTTGTTTCTGGCCACTACTGTGGAGTCAGGAGGGGAAGACAGATTCCTGAGGTTCCCATGTTAGCCCTTCTGCTCGAGACGTCTCCTTAGCTTAATGCCTCCAAGGAGCACTGCAAGTGTTCTTGGTGGCAAACTCATCAGATCTCCCCTACACAAGTAAAGGAGCCATGTGTTCTGAAAAACTGACTTTATGTGGGAGAATGAAGGAGTCATTCTCTTGAAAGATATTAAGAATACAGTAATAGTTTAAATTCCTTACAAACTGTCTCAGAGATAACCTGCAACCTTTATTTTTATTAAGTATTTTTCTTCCTTGGAGTAGTGGGAGGAACCTTCCTGGGGAGTGTTGTGGAGCCCCAGCAGTTGGGCAGGCTTATGCACGCTTCCAGGTGAAGCTCCTGAGCAGCTTCTGCAGTGGATGGACCACCACTCCTTCCAGAGCACAGCGTGTCCCCCAGAGCTTCCTTCTGAAACTGGCTTCTTTCGAGAAAGGAATTGGTGTTGGCTGTTTCTGTCTTCCAGGGTAGAATGAGTCAGGTTCTTCCCCAAATCTCCAGCTACCAAACTTGTTCTTTTGTCCTTACCCATTCCCACAGAGCATCTTGCCTGCAGTTCCACTTCAGGACACTAGTGCCGTAGCCGGAACTAGCTGGGAGAATCTGACCAGTGAGGACAGGAGCCTGTCGAGGGACGGCGCTTCTGCTGTTTCCTATGTCTGGGAGTTGCGGGTCATAGGGAGAGGAGAAGGGTGCAGGATACAGTAAGGCAGTGGAACGCTCTTATGTGTTTGGTTTTCTGCATGATGGTATAAATTCGTTCCCCCCAGAGAAGGAAAAGATCCTGAGTCCTATATTTAAGTTTTCAAACTACTAGATATATTTGGTATGGATATTATTAAAGCTTTTATTCTTTCTTCCCTGAGCCAGGGATTGAACTCAGGGCCTTGTGCATGCTAGGCAAGTGCTCTACCAGTAAGCTATACCCCCAGCTCTGTCAAAGCTTTTTTAAACCTTGATTTATTGATTCTTGGTTTTTTTGGTATGCTTAAAAAGGGGAAATGTTACAACTTCTGACCTTACTTTTGTCTCCTTCTCTGATCAGGGAAAGTGGCAGATTCAGAAAAACTTCTGGCCTAGGAGTTGGGAGGTCTGGTTTGTCAGACTCAAAATCCTTGATAACAAAATTGTTGCTTAATGACTGTAAACCATATGCTCACACTTGTGTCATTTGGTGATGTTAGGGTGATAAACTGTTCCACTTTACAAACTGATATAAAAATTCAGGTAAATTGGCTTTGTATCCTTTCACCTGTAAAGTGGGTGTAATTCTTGCTTCCTAACAAATATTTTTTGAGAAATACAAAGCTCCTTGAGTCTGTTTCTTCCTCTGTTAAGTAAAGCAAATACTTAGGTCTCGGGATCATTGAAAGGTTTAAATGAAGTAACAAGTGTACGAAAATCTTGTCAGATGGCTGCCATTTAGTACTCATTCCAAAGGTGTTTGCCAAGCCTCAGTGCAGGGCTGTTGAAAATCAAATGAGGTAAGGACTGTGAATGTCCAGCAGAAAGTAAGATGCGTAATTTAAATGCAACATAAAGCCGGGTATGATGGCACACATGGCTGTAACCCAGAGGCAGGAGGATGGCAAGTTCAAACCCAGCCGAGGCAATTTGGAAGACCTTTAGCAAGACGCCTTCTCAAAATAAAATAAAATATGGACTGCCGGGGCAGCTCAGTACAAAGGCTCTGGGTTCAACTCCGCACTACTGGGAGGTGGGGGAAGCAACATAATTGCCCATAGTAGTCAGGAAGTATAGGACTAACCCTTATTTTACTTAATAATAGCCCCAAATTGCAAGAGCAGTAATGCTGACAATTTTATTACACAGTACTGTTATAAACATCCTATTTTATTATTACCATGCCTACTTTGTATATGAAACTTGGTCATACATACACATGGAAAAAACTTAGTTATAGATCATGTTTGTTATCTGGGGTCTCAGGCAGCCACTGGGTCTTAGAACATACCTCTTAATAGCGTGGGGGTCTCCTAACCATAGAATGTGAGGAAATGGTATTGATGTTCTAAAGGGAGAAAGAAGAATGACATTATGAAGGAACAATTATATGTAAGAATTTTATAAAGCTAATCTAATTGCCAGCCTAAGTCGGTTTTGTAGTGTGTATTCTGTTCATGTTTTGCGTTGAGGTTCATGGTCATATACACTCTAGTACCTGCTCCATCCCTGGACTTCGCTTCCTGTTAGGAAGGGACTTTGCTTCAGGCAGCTGAAGCATGCTGGGCTTTGGTGTCGTAACCCGTTGGAGTTACATCCTGACCCAGGGCCCTATATCTCTAGCTGGCCCCCACGTCTGCTTCTCTTGAGCCACTTGTCCTAGGCTATGTTGTTAAAAGCCTTGCTTCTGTGCTTTAGGCTCCCAGAACCCTGGCCGAAGTTCACCTCCCCCTGGCTATGTGCCTGAGCGGCAGCAGCACATTGCCCGACAGGGATCCTACACCAGCATCAACAGTGAGGGGGAATTCATCCCAGAGACCAGCGAGCAGTGCGTGAGTATGGGGGACTGGAGTGTGCACACACTCGGTGTCAGACCAAGAGGATGGCCATCTTGAGAGTTAGAACTGCAAATAGTGGCTCTTCTGCAAACCAGGCCTGCCCAAATGTGGATTATTCCTTTCTAGGGGCCAAATACCAATTCCTGCCAAAGACGGGATCCAAGCTACCTAGCCTCCTTGGTGTTGGGTGAGCACTTGACAGTTTCCCTCTTAAGGTCCCTCACTGGTCTTCCTGCAGAATTTTATGCTGTTGATGTTCTTCCTTACAACTGTCTTTCTTCATTTTGGCAAGCTTTTACATACAACCAGTGCTAAACTAACAGATGGTGTTTTTCATTGGCTATATTTTAGTTTCGCTATTGCTTGGTGAGAGGTAGGGTGTGAACAACATCCAGATTACACTGTAGGGTTGGTTAGAGTGACTTCTGTGATGATAGACAGCTGTTACTAATCACCTGTTGGTATATAACAACTTGTCACAAGTACAGTCTTACAGTGATATAATTTATGCTGTAGTTTCCTTGGGTCAGGAGTCCAGACATCACTTAGCTGGGTCCTCTGCTTAGGACTGCACAGGGATGCCTTTTCTTGAGCTTGAGGTTGTCTTCTAGGCTCATATGGTTGTTGACAGAGTTCAGTTCCTTGTGATTGTAGGGCTGCGGTTTCTGTTTTTTGACTAGATGTCACCAGGCCTGCTCTGAGTGTCCAAGAGGCTACCTCCAGTTTTTTTGCTTTGGGGCCCCCTCACGATGGACACTCGGCTTATTCAAAGCCAGCAGGAAAATCTCTTGCTCCAGTTTGCAAAGATGGCATCTTCTGTAACTTAATACAATCATGGGGTGAGCATCCTGTCCTCCCCATACGTAGTCTGTTGCCTGGGAGTAAGTCATAGGTGCTCCCTGCAGTCAAGGCGGGATGACTCACTGTGACTCATTAGTCCATGTGTCCACCACAGTACTCGCCCACTGTAGTGTGTGTGTGTGTTTTACTGTAATTGAACCCAGGGCCTTTGCGCTGAGTTATGTCACCTGCCGTTTTTTTGTTTTGTTTTGTGTTTTTGGAGAAAGGATGTTACTAAGTTGCCCGGCTGGGCCTTCAATATGCATCCTCCTGCTTTAGCCTCCCAGAGTGCTGGGATTACAGGTGTGGGTCACCATACCTGGCTCTAATGGCTGGCTTTTTTTGTTGTTGTTGAGACAGAGTCTCACTATGTAGTTCAGGCTGGCCTTGAACTCATTATGTGGGTCAGGCTGGCCTCGAACTCACACTGGATCCCTCTTGCCTCAGCCTTCTAATACTGAGATTACAGGCGTGCACCACAACACCCAGCCTAGCTGGCTTTTTAACCAATAGTTTACTTGATGAAAATGACAGTTTGGGGGTGCTGGGGATTTAGGTCAGTGGCAAAGTGCCTGCCTGGCAAGCGCAAGGTCATGAGTTCGATTCCTGGTACCAGAAGAAAAACAAAACAAAAAAGAGAAAATGACAGTTTGGAGTCCAGTGTTGTGGTATTAGTCTGTAATCCCAGTACTTGGGAAGCTGAGGCAGGAAGATTGCCATAAAACCAGCCTGTGCTACATAATGAGTTCAAGGCCAGTCTGAACTATATAACAAGACTATATCTCAGGGGGAAAAAAAATTGGCTGAGTGAACTCAACAACTGTGAGATCTCTTGACTTCATTCTGATCATTTCAATAAATTTGACTTGATTGCTCTTACATGTTTCTAAATTTGGTTTAAGAAGAGGAACTTTTTAAGGGTATAACAGCCAACAAAGAAGCCAGCATCACCACACGCAGAATTTTACAAAACAACTGATTCCTGTAACTTCTTATTTATTACTCAGACTATGTATACTATGAGAAGCTCTTGACCTGCTTTACTCTCATCTGTACTCCTGCCTTCCAGATAAACTCACATTTGGAACCATGACTTGAGCCGGGCGTGGTGGTGCACGCCTATAATCCCAGCACTCGGGAGGCTGAGGCAGGAGGATTGCTGCAAGTTTGAGGCCAGCCTGAGCTACAAAGTGAGTTCAAGGCCAGCCTGAACTGCATGGTGAAACCCTGTCTCAAAAAGACAAAAAACAAAAACAAAAACAAAACAACAACCAAGCAAGGAACCATGACCTGGCGTGGCTTTGGCTTCAGAGTCCCTTCTTGAGCATTTTACCCTACGGCCCTTTCAGTGTCTCTCACTATAGGACTTCTGGACAGCCACTCTTCCAAGGGTTTCGGCTGTGAAATCCCGGAGATTGCAGATTAGGTGGATTTCCTTTGGTCTCTATCTCTCTCCATGATCCTGTACTGTGGCCCCTTCATTTTTTTACTTTACCTGCCTGGCCCTGGATTTGACCCTTAGTGAGGACAGACTTTAGAAGGAGGCCAAGAATGGTGGAAGCTGAGGACTGCCCAGGCCCCCCCTCAGCCCCCGCTTTTTAGCAGAAGAGAATTCCTCCTAGTAACAGACCAGTCAAGATAAGTCCACCTCACAAGGCTCTACCAATATTGTGTATAGTAAAAGAATATTCAATTGAGGCTTTCTTGCAAAGTGAAACTAAGGTTTTTTTTTTTCTTTGATCAGGTTTAGGTGATAATTGCATGTATATGCTGATTTTTAGAATGAACAAAACTTGATTTGTACTACTTTTTGGCTTACTTTTTTGAACAGAAATTATGCTAGCATAGTGTAACTTCCTTTACTTCCGCTTTGACTTCTGCAGCATTATCATAAAAAGGGTCATTTTTTGCAAAAGCATTCACTGGACTCAGCAGTTTTTTCCAAGGCCTCTTGAACCTTTGGTATTTTTCCTCCATCATCACATCTGCCGTGTTGTTACACTCATGTATTTTCTCTTTTACGTTATCTGGCCTAACTTTGTCCAATATGCATTTGATGGATTGGAAGTAATTCTTTCCCATATTGGCTTCCTCCACATGGGGAAATCTTGTATCCTTAACAAGGTTTGCAGTTTTATTTTGCAGTTAATTTTTTGTATATGACAGTATGATCTGAAGTATTTGACAGTATGGATGGGGCTGAATCCTAGTAAAATATTTGAGTTGGAAACTAATTTTGTGAAATTTCTAATTCTGGTAAACACTAAGTAATGTTTAATTTCCGAGTTCAGATAAGAACACAGTTGGCCCTCTGTGTCTGTGGATTCTATGTCTATATTCAACCACCTGTAAAATGAAAATATTCAGAAAAAAATTGTGTCCACACTGAAATTGAACAGGCTTTTCTTTTCTTGTCATTCCCTAAACGGATACTACCCAGCATTTACATTGTACTGTGTATTATAAGTAATTTAAATCTACAGTATATATGAGGATATGCATGGATAATATGTCATCTTATATCAGAGACCAGCATGCACAGATTTTGATACCCACAAAGATCATGGAGCCAACACCCATGTATACTGAGGGATGACTGTACTCTGAAATTTAAAACCCCAACTCCAGCCCCACTATGTACCAATTAAATGAAGAGAAGCACCTTCACTGGACAAAAAAAAAAATGCTATTTTGAAAAGGCTTTTTGTTACTGCATTTTACCAAGGGCCAGAGGAATACTTTAATTTATACATATACCTTTTACCTCTGCACTGCAACCAGGCACTGGGGAATTTTTGCTGATACCAGCTGTGCGATAACTGGTTTTACACCTTTAGAGAGGTCTCCTATCATTTCTCAGCCTGCAGTGCTCATCTGTGAAATGAGGCAATACTTGTCTTTGTAAATTATGAATTATCAAGTGTAAACAGAAGCATTGAGGTCCCACCCAGACTCACTGGAAGCCTCCACAGGGTAGTACCATCTCCAGCGCCAGGCACTGATACTGATGAGCCAAGAAAATGCCAACAAGAGAAGCAGCTCTGCTTTGCTCTCCTGGCAGAGCTCCTTGCAGTGCCAGCCAAGCATTTTTCTCCTTCCTGGAAACTTGCCTTTCAAACTGCAGGGGAGAATGGTACCTTATTCTAACCATTTTCCCCAGTACATGAGAGGAAAAAAGGCACTTTAATATTTTAACAATAGAGACAATATGCTAGCGCTGAGTAGGTCATAGGGCCTGGGTTTCCTGGCTGGGATTTGTTTTGGGACTGGTTTTATTGTATGACTTGCCTTGCAGATGCTGGACCCCCTGAGCAGTGCTGAAAATTCCTTGTCGGGAAGCTGCCAGTCCTTGGACAGGTCAGCAGAAAGGTATGGGGCTGTGGGTAGTTGGGGCGCTAATGTGTAGGCATTTTAGGGATGGGTTGAGGAAGTAGAGTTATCAAGTGTGTGTCTGATCTCACTGTATCCAGGGGACCAGGGTTAAAACATCAAGCTTGCAGGAAGATCCTTTACTTAATTTCTCAAATACAATGACAGTGTTTTGTCTGCATAATAAAATGAACATTACAGTAGTACATAGGTGGGCGTGGTGGTGCATGCCTGTAACCCCAGCACTCAAGAGGCTGAAGCAGGAGGATTGACATTAGTTTGAGGCCAGCCTGGACTATGCAGCAAGAACCTGTCTCAAAAACTTAAAAAAATAAATAAATAAATAAAATATATATACACACACACACACACACAGTAGCTTATTAAGTACTGTCTGTGTTGTTCAGTGTTATACATGTTTTGACCTTCCACATAATATATGCTACTCTTGTACTTTTTTTTGGCCTCATTGCTGAACTGAGAAACAGTGGACTGTTGAAGTTTTGAGGAAAAACTTGAGTTTTTACTGATGGGTTTACTTTCATTTTTTTTCTTCCAAATGTTTCTGGTGAAATAAGAAAGAGATACATAAAAATAAGAAAACAAAATATCTAGAACTTCCTTGTTTTCTTGGTACCGGGAACTCAGGACCTTGTGCTTGCCATGCAGGCACTTGTGCCACTGAGCTACCCCCCAGCCCAAGAAAACAAAATATCTAGATGGTGAGCATACCACACAGCGTCTGCTTGGTAATAAGTCCTGTTCTTAACACCCTGTGCGGGAGCAAGTGCTGTCCTTCCAAACCAAGAAGGCCAGCCCCCGCTCCAGTCCACTGCTGCCTTGCCCCTGCCCTTGTTCTGATCATGTCTGGGCAACTTGGGATGGCCAGTGGATAGGGAGCAGGCCTGGGTATTTTAAGGGGTTTTATTTTTTAAATTTGTGTAACTGACTCATCATTCACGTGGGTACTAATCATGTAACTGTGGCCAAATTTGTACAGTGTCTTTCCTAATAGCTCTGATAAGTGCTATCTTCCCCCTAGATATCACAGGGTAGAGTCATAGTTACTTGTTGGGCTTGCTTTCCAGAGCAAAAAGGCTAGGAGTTTCTGTCCCGAGCTCAGGGCTCTGCCAAGAACAGGCTGACCATGGCTTTGGACTATCTGCTAAACTTTGGGGTGGGAGGGAGGAAAGATGTCGAAGCTGGACAGTAGGGACAGTCCTCAGTCAGTGCCTTGAGAGTTTCTGACCTGGCGCGTTCTCAGAAGGCACGCTCCTGCCTGGGGAAGGGCCAGTCAGGCGGCTGCTGGGAAAGGTAGCTGAGTTCACCTACTTTCTCATTCTTGGCTGTTTCCTCCATCCCTACAGTGCTTTTTCCTTCTCCTGGAGCGTGACTTCTCTGAGGTCCAGCTTGACCTACGCTCGGGGCTCTCATCTTACCTTTTTAGAAACTATAAAAAGGGCAGATCTGAAGCCAGGTAGACCTAGATCCATTTTGGCTCCAGCAGATATTTGAGTGGCTTCAGACAAGTCCCTTAACTCTTGTTTTGTTTTGGTTTTTTTGGTACTGGGTATTGAACTCATGACCTCAGGCTTTCCAGGCAGGTGCTTATGCCACTGAGCTATATCCCCGGCCCAAGTCCCTTATCTCTGAGTTCCTCAGTTTCCTGTCTCTAAAATGGGTGGTGATAATTCATCTGAAGTAAAGATGCCTTGTATTGCAGCAGGAACGTGGACTTTGGGTTGAAGCCTCACTCTGTTGCTTCCGGCCTGTATCATTGGACAAGTAAATAGGAAGGCGCAAACCTGGCCTGTAGGGTATCTACACAGCAGGTGCTCAGTAATTGGCACCTGCTGTTACTTTTATGTTTCCTTCCTCAGAGTTGTGAGGATTAACTGAGAAAAAGCTGACTCTATAAAGTAAATCTGAAAGCAGCAGTTTGTAAGCTACAGTATGGTTATCTTTATCACTGCCTGGGCCAGGAATTCTCTTGCAGCTCTTCACCTGTTACAAAGGTGGGAAGAAAGGCACAAAAGAGAAAAGGGTGCTCAGCTAGAGTAGAACTCAGTGGGATGGACTGAACCAGCCAGGGTCCCGGCAAATGTGGGCCTCCGGCTAGTGATGGGAGGGGGAGAGAGCAGGAGGCCAGGGCCAGAGCTGCTTTCCTCCTCCTCTGCCTCCCACCCATCCTGTGGGACACAGCAGGGGAGACCGACCGCTGGGCGCTCCGCCTCCGGTCTGCCCTCTGGGCTGCTCTGGAAGTGCACTGAGGTTTAGTTCGTATTCCTTTTTGTTTTCTTCAGTCCATCCTTCAGGAAATCACGAATGTCCCGAGCCCAGAGCTTCCCAGACAACAGACAGGAGTACTCCGGTGAGCTCCAGGGGCCTGAGTGGGCACTGTGGGACATCTGGGTGGGGCCAGGGGTGGTTCTGAGTTGGGAAGACTGGACTGTATAGAAATTCTCCTGGGCCTGCTGCTGTAGGCTCTCAGGTGACCGGGGGCTTAAGTGGCTCCTTCACGGATCTGCCCAGAAGCCAGTGATTCCTCTGTCTCACTCAGATCGAGAAACCCAGCTCTATGACAAAGGGGTAAAAGGAGGAACGTATCCCCGGCGCTACCACGTGTCTGTGCACCATAAGGACTACAATGATGGTGAGTGCGTCTCCATGCTGCCCTCTGCTGGCTACTTTGGGAAAGGCCATGCTTAGAGTTCCGTGGAAAACTAATTCCAAGGGGATGGGGAGCTCCAGGCTCTGCGTTTCCCTTTATTCCTGAGGAATTGTGCCCCAGACTTGAGGCAAGAGAGACAGAACACCAACCAGATAGGGAAGGTTGCATCTGTAGGCCGAGATGCTACCACTCTGCCTTTTGTGTCCGTGGTGTGCTCTGGGGTACCACCCCTCCAAGTCCTTCTCTAGTAGCTGCAGAAAGCTTTGACTTGATTTGGGGTGGAGATGAGGGACAGCAGCCCCTCTGGCCTGAGTCCGATGGGAGGGCAGACAGGACGGACCAGAGCTGGTATTCTTTGTCACTTCTAACTGGTTTGTACGTTCAGTCTTACGGCCAGGGGTCTGACCTGCTCTGCTCTGGCTCTTGCGCCCTTCCAGGCAGAAGAACATTTCCCCGAATACGACGCCATCAAGGCAACCTCTTCACTCTGGTTCCCTCCAGCCGCTCCCTAAGCACAAACGGCGAGAACCTGGGTCTGGCTGTACAGTACCTGGACCCCCGTGGACGCCTGCGGAGTGCAGACAGCGAGAACGCGCTTTCTGTTCAGGAGAGGAGTGTGCCGACCAAGTGTGAGGAGTGCCCCTGGCTAGGAAGCGCTTGCTGAGGGTGCTCAGATGAGCTGCAGGGGCAGGAGGACAGCCAGGCCACTGGGGCGCTTAGGCTCAGCAGTCTGCTCCTCTGGCCTGTCCTCTCCACACTGAGAGAGCCTTGGAGCGGGGAGCGCACCCTGGACCTTATGCCTGACTCCTGCCATAGACTTTGATCTGGTCTGTAGTCTGTCTTTGTTCAAACTGAAAAGCATACCCTCGATTCCTGCCATATTATTTTGGAGCTTTGGGAGTAAAAGTATTTGATGAATGCAGAAGAGCACTTTACTATGGCTGACTGTTCTCTGCTTCCCAGGATTCTGACCTTAAGGTCCCACTGACAGGGTACTGGGCCCGCTCCAGGTGGGGTGGAGATGCTATACTGAGAATTGATGGTGCTAGGTGTGGGTGGGCCTGAGCCACAGGCCCCATGATCAAGCATCTGGAGAATGAGCAGGGTCTCTAACAAACGTGCATAGCATAACACAATTTCTGCTGTCTTCCTGTAGCTCCCAGTGCCCCCATCAATTGGCGCCGGGGGAAACTCCTGGGCCAGGGTGCCTTCGGCAGGGTTTATTTATGCTATGATGTGGACACAGGACGTGAACTTGCTTCCAAGCAGGTCCAGTTTGACCCGGACAGCCCTGAGACAAGCAAGGTACCACCTTCTCCAAGCTCTGACCTCCATCTCTCCCCTTCCGGGGAAAATCCCTGTCGTATTCACAGATGAATTGCTCAAGGTGCCACAGCTTGCCTCCCCGTCACTGTTCTCCCAAGCTCCCTTGCTATCCACTGTGGCCATGAAGCACCTGGGGGAGGAACTGAGCCCATAACAAAGGCCCAAGTAACTCAGACTGACAGGTGATAACCCGCGTGCTGCCTGCCTCAACTCAATAAGCAGACGCCTCCCCCGGCTTTTAGCCAAGAAGGAGCCGTGCGGTTTACCTGTTTGGTCCAATTCTAAAGGAGGACTATGTGGCCTGTATCTCACCTTGAGTAGATTATCTTTGGTAGTTACCTTGACGAAGCCCCGACAAGCCTTCTTCTCTCCTCCGTGTCTGCCTCCCTCCATGCCTGGGAGTGCCACGCCTGAGGCTTCCCTAGCATTGTGGCCGAGAAGCAGACAGTTGAGAAGGCCCCCTTTTCTCTAGCTGAAGTTCCCAAGGTAGACCCTTGTGAGGTGTGGATTAAGGCAAGCAGAGCTGACCCCAGGCCCTGAGTGCCCAGGTGACCACTGGCCCCCCTGTAGGAGGTGAGTGCTCTGGAGTGTGAGATCCAGTTGCTGAAGAACCTGCAGCATGAGCGTATAGTGCAGTACTACGGCTGCCTGAGGGACCGTGCCGAGAAGACTCTGACCATCTTCATGGAGTATATGCCAGGGGTATGTGCTCCCTGGGTGCATGCAAGACTCACACAGAGCAGGGCCTGACCTGGGACTGAAGGCAGGAAGGCCACCCTTGAGCTGGGTCTGATCCCCTGAGGCTGCAGAGTTCAGAGGAACCGAGTGAGGTGATGGCAGGATTTGGAGGCAGGAGTGTCCTATGGCTGCAGTGAGGGTGCAGAACTAGCCCACACCAACATAACCTGCTGTGGGATGGCTGTTCTCTGTCCTGCAAGTACAACATTTACCTGGAAATTGGGCTGAGGATATAGCTCAGTGGCACAATCGCATGCCTGGCAAGTGCAAGGTCCTGAGTTCGATTCCCGGTGGTGCTCCCCACCCCCCACCCCCCGAAAAAAAAAGCTTAAGCATCTACCTGGAACAGAGGCCTTTCTCCTAGACTTGGGTCCTACGCTCCTTGAAGGAGAGATGGTTTCATGCTTTTTTCCAAGCTGTCCAGCAGCTCCTAGCAAAGTGTCTTCCACACAAATGGGACTTGGTTGAATCTCTGCTTTCCTGCAGTCCTGGGGGCTGGAAATAGCCTTGCTCCCTCCCATAGCCATCCCTTGAGAGGACTCCCTCTGACTCCTTGTGGCTGGTAGGGCTCAGTGAAAGACCAGTTGAAGGCCTACGGAGCTCTGACGGAGAGCGTGACCCGCAAGTACACGCGGCAGATCCTGGAGGGCATGTCCTACCTGCACAGCAACATGATTGTTCACCGGGACATCAAGGGTGAGCAGGGGCGGGCTGTGGAGCTTAGGGCTTGGGCGCCAGGACATTGTGCAGTGACTAGGTGGGCCAGTCAACCACTCCGAGCTTGCTGGAAAGGACTCAGGTTCTTGCCCATTCGGCGGTTGGTGTAAGCTTGGTTGAGCAATTTGGGAAAGTACCTTCTAGTGCCGTGCAGATGTTGGCCGGGGAGAGGATCGCTTTGTATTTTGGGTGTGAGGGTTCCCTTCACTGGACTGTGCTGTATGCAGCTCCTGACCAATTCATTGGTGGCCCCTGCCGTCTCGGTGACCTGGAGGGAGGGTGGTAGAAAATCGAAGTGTCTCAGGTGATTGTCTCTGCCTTTTCATGCCTTAGGAGCCAACATCCTCCGAGACTCTGCTGGGAATGTGAAACTGGGGGACTTTGGAGCCAGCAAACGCCTGCAGACCATCTGCATGTCAGGAACAGGCATGCGCTCAGTCACTGGCACACCCTACTGGATGAGCCCTGAGGTGATCAGCGGCGAGGGCTATGGAAGGAAGGCGGATGTGTGGTGAGCATTAGGACACGCCGGGATCCCGTGTTCTTGCCTTGGGTATACTAGGAGAGACGGAGGGCCTGGGTCTTGCTGACCAGTGCACCCAGAGCCTCGGCGCCCTGTGTGCAGGGGTGCTGGTACGAGGAGTAGCACATATGACAGCTGCGGTGCGTTTAACCTCAGATAGCAAACTGCTGGTGCTGGGAACTTCATCTCATGTTTGCTGAATCTCTTTAAGTAGGATTCAGCCAGGCATAGTGGTGCACACCTATAATCCATGAACCTGGGAGGGTGAGTCGGGGATTGCTGTGAGTCTGAGGCCAGCCTGGGCTGTATAATGAGACCCTGTCTCAAAAAAAAAAAAAGTAGGATCCACTCTGAAGGCTTATTTCTGTCTCCAAACAAGAGCAGACTTACAGCACTCAGATGACCTGTGTTTGCTCTGCCTAACTTAGGTCCTTCCTCAGCAAGGACTTAGTAGTTGTGAGAACTTCTGTCCTTGGCAAGTTACTATGGTGTGCTGAGTAAAGGTCCCCCAAAGAAGTTCATGTAGCCTGGAACCTGTAAATGTTACCTTATACGGTATGGCAACAGAGTCTTTGCAGCTGTGACTAAGGACATCAATATGACATTAATATGGACAGGTTACCCTGGCTTATCTGAGTGGGCCCAGTATTATCCCAAGGACCCTTATAAAAGGAAGGTAGGAGGCCTGGGGTGTAGCTCAGTGGTAGAGCACTTGCTTTAGCATGTGAAAAGCTCATGGGTTCAATCCCCAGCACCAAAAAAAAAAAAAGCCCCAGGGGTAAGAGGGACAGGAAAGCAGCATGGGCAGTGGGAGATGTGACAGCGGAAGCATAAGGCTGGAACAAGGAAAGGGGACCACGAGCCGAAAAATGCAGGCGGGGCCGGGGAGCTCAGTGGTCGAATGCATGCTTACTTGTGCAAGGGCCTGGGTTCAGTCCTCTGCGTGAGGACAGCAAAGGGGAAGGGAGTGGGAGCTCAGAGGGTCCAGAAGGGACCATCCTTGCTGACATCCTAACGTTAGCCCAGAGAGATTGATTTTAGGCTGCTGACCTCTGGAACTGTACTCATGCCACAAAGTTTGTAGAGATTCGTTACAGCAGCAGTAGGAAATAAATACAGCGGACCCTCGAGTTACAACGGCCTGACACATGAACAGCTTGGGTTATGACCGGAATTTTAGTTTTACAACCAGAGTCTTGACTTACGACCCGAGTGCCAGCTGCCTGTGCCTCCAGGTGGTCTCAGATACAGAGATAACCCTTGAAGAGCTCTGGAAGGAACATTACAGCGTCCTCTCCTGTGAACCACACAATTGAGGAGTCCTGGGCCAAGGTCTCTCTGAGGACACTGAGGTCCGCCTGTACACAGGACAGGGACTCTGACGGCTGTGTAGAGGAGCTGAGCCTTCAGCGGACAACTTGAGTCACAGCCAGCCCTCGGGAGCGAGTTGAGGTCATAAGTCAAGGGTCCACTGTACAATTGTCTTGGAGGCGCCCCTAACACACACACACACACACACACACACACACGCTGGGAATGGAGCCCCGGGCCGCACGTGATTTTGTGCTACTGAGCTGTACTTGTGGAGTGCTTTCTGTTAGTGTTCAGTGCTCCCTCGTCCCGTCTCAGGAAGGCCCACGGTCCTAGGCATGGTGGTGGCCACCCATAATTCCAGCTTTCTGGTGCCTGAAGCAGGAGAACCGAAAGTTTGAGCCTAGCCTGGGCAACCTAGTGACTTAGTGAGACCCTGCCTCAGAATTTTAAAGGAGGATTCAGATGTAACTGTGCAGGCTCTGCTGCAGAGAGAAAAGGAAAGTTCCCTGGTGAGTGGTGGGCACAGGCTCGTCCTGTAGGTGGACAAGGCTTACAGTGACTTGAAGCCTCTTGTGTCCTCAGAGAGTCCAGAGACAGCCATCAGCTTGGCCCATCTTGTGCCTCAGAGTGATCTAAAGAAGGCGTCTCTTTGCACTACAGTGGGTGCACAGCCGGGGCCTGGAGCTGTCTGAGGGGTGACGTGGGGTCTCTCTCTCCAGGAGCCTGGGCTGCACTGTGGTGGAGATGCTGACAGAGAAACCACCGTGGGCAGAGTATGAAGCGATGGCCGCCATTTTCAAGATTGCCACCCAGCCCACCAACCCTCAGCTGCCTTCCCACATCTCTGAACACGGCCGGGACTTCCTGAGACGCATTTTTGTGGAGGCTCATCAGAGACCTTCAGCTGAGGAGCTGCTTACACACCACTTTGCACAGCTTGTGTACTGAGCTCTCGAGGCCATGCTGCTGCTGGCCACCCCTGCTGCGTGGGCCAGGGGCTGCTGTGGGGCTCAGCAAAGGCGCTGCTTCTCCCAGGCAGAGCTGTGGACCGTGGAGCTGCAGTCCAGCCAGCACTTGTCGGTGCCCCTTCTGCCACTGCAGCTCAGAGCCAGCTGGGGTACCTGCAGCCACAAGGACTGGGAGACCCCAGCCTGCCAGACCTACGAGTCCGGCACCCCAAGTTCAGCGTGGAGGGGAAGGGCTGGGAATAGTGTGCAAGGCAGCAGTGGGCCCCACCCTTGGGGTGTGTCCTGACGCCGCAGTCCGCACAGAAGCCCCGAGGGTCTGGGGCGCAGGCCTGACGCAAGGTTTGAATAGTGTTATTTTTACTCAGAGTGTTACTGTTTCTCCCAGTGCCCGGACACCACCGGAGTGTCTGGGCTGGCACCGCCCACCCCAGCCTACGGTAAAACCCAGCGACCCCCAGCCAGTGGAAGGCAGAGGCCTGGGCCGCCCTCTCCTGGAGCCCCCAGGTCAGCCTTGCCAGTCCTTGTCCTTTACCAAAGATAAAGCAAATGTCATGCTGCCTTATTCAGGGAAGGAGGAGCCTGTCCTGCCTGTCCCCATGACCCTGCACCCTCAAGCAGGGGCTTGAGAGGTGGAACTGCCCCCACTGAGCGGGGAGACTCAGTTTTGTCAATGCAGTTGTCTCTGTTTTACAAGTTGGAGTCGCTCATATGCTGTACCCATTTTCTAAACTGGAGACGTGTGCCCCGAGCTCAGAGTACCCCTGTGTGGGCTTAGGCCTTGGGCTTCATTGGAAAGAGCTGTTGCAGTAGCCTTTGTGCTCCTGGCCAAACAGTCCCTCTCCTGCTGGAGCAGAAAAGGTAAAAACTTAGGGCATCCGGCCAGCTGGGTACCCTGACCTGACCGGGCGTTCAGGAGAGCCCCAATAGTTGTCTTAGGCTGTGTGAGTCATGACCCTGCCAGGCAGAGCCCACTCCGTCTGGTACAAGAAAAGCCCGTGCGCTGCCACCACCTGTCGAGAACCACCAGCTGTCCCTCCTTAGCCCACCTCCGCCGTCCCGGGGAGGTCCCGGTCTCCTCCGCGCCCCTTCCCTGTGGGAGGGTGGCAGCAGTGGTCGGGGAAACAGCGTCTCCAAGCAGCTCAGAGTTGGCCGTATTTACCTCAGCCTGGGTGCTGGTCCTCCCTGCCTCCTTCCAAAATGTGCCTATGCTAGAGCTCCTCCCTCCCAGTGCCCAGTCTCCTTGGGAGCTGTCATTAATGAGGGTGGGGGCTAGTGCCCAGGAATGGGCATCTCCAGGGAGCTGGGGATTAGTGCCAGGCAGCTCATTGCCAGCCATGCCCACTTCCCCAGGGGCACAGAACAAGCCAAAGCCTTCGTTGTATGTTGACGATGCACTTTTATGAATGTAGTTTCTATCGCTGTTTTTAGCCTTTTCACATCATGTAATGTGAGGCCTTGTACTTGTTAATTTATATCTCAGATCATATTGATGGTTTTTATATATATCAATCGTAGACTGTTACAGGTGATGGACGCCTCAAGAGAGAAGAGAAAATGAAAGCAGCTGGCTTTGCAGAACTGTGTGCTGCATGGTGCCAGTGGGGCCCTAGCCCCTTTATGCCATCCCTTTTGCCAGGGGCCTCTGTCAGGCCACCTTCCACTGGCAGCTGCCCTAAGGCCAGCGAACATACGCTCCTGCCTCCATCTTGGCCCTTGCCCGGGTGGGGACCGGCCCATCATCTCGACCAAAGCTGCCAAGCAGCAGCTCAGCCTGTGACCCATCTAATTGCTGTAGCCTTCGCTGGCCCACGCGCTGTCCCTAGGGCCCCCTCTCCCCTCCCCCAAGTGGAAACAGCGTGGTGTCACTGACAAGATGACTCTGTCCCAGGTTCGGGCGCTCTCAGAGCCTCTCCTCCAGGGTCTTCAGTTTTAAAAATGAATTTTAAAACAAGCCAACAAATCCTGAACTCCAAAAAAACCAAAACGGACCCTGATTTTTGTGCCAAAAGACTGCGGACATGCTGGCTCAGCATCCTCAGGACCAAGCTATTGCATAATTTTAATTTATTGGGGTTTTTTTACTAACTAATCCCAATGAAACGTTAGGGGGCTCTAGGATGGCCTGGGCCCAAAGGGTCTTAAGGCAGTTTGCGAGCAGCCCTGGGCTTAGGGTGGGAAGGGGTTATGTTGTAATTTCCTCATTCCATGGGGTGAGTCTGCCCTGGCCGCCCCCATATGGAAGGGCCAGTGCATACCCTTCGACCCTTCCCCTCCAGCTCTGTGTGTGTCTGAGTTGTGGATCGTGCAGAAGAACCTGCAGCCGTAGTTATTTGACTATATCTTGACTGAGGGCTTGCAGTGCAAAGCCAGGCCAGTGTCACACATTACTTTCAATAAAAGGGATCATTTATACTAGAGGGATCCTGTGGCCATGCTTTTGGTTGGGGGGCGGTAATAGGTATTTGGGAGGAGCTGGGTATGGTGCCTAGCAACGAGCTTGGGCCCCTCAAATAGGACTTAAAATGACTCCAGAAAGAGGGGCCCTGGAGTGACTTGGCTGGGTCCCACTCACCCCACAGTGGTTCGCCCTCGCCTCTTTCCCCTCCACCACCAGGGCCTCTTTGCTGAGGTGGCACTGATGGTGCTTCTGACCTGGACCTCCCCAGTGGCCAGATCCTTGGGATGTGTGGCAGCTGGTAGGGTCTTTCAGCCCATGCTCACAGGAAAGTAGTCAGAAGCCACCGCTCCAGCATGTGCCCTTAGCCCAGCCTTAGGGAGAGACACTTGTTCCCATCACTGACCTCTCACACAGGAAGCTGAGTCTGCTCTGAGGCTCTCCTCGGCCCAGGGTCTGGGCCTCAGGTGCCTTCTCTGCTTCAGAAAGCAGTGCCTGCCTTAACTGCACAGCGGCTCACCTGGCACCAGGGCTTGAGGCCCAGTTTTCTGGGTAGGAATCAGCAAGGAACTCGGGGAGCTGTCTCGGTGCTGGCAGCGAGTCCCACGGGGCTCTGTTCTTTTGCCCCACTGACTCATGTATCCCGCAAGCTCTTTGGGAAAATCAGGACAGCGGTTCTGGGGCAGGACGAACCAGACTTCCGTTTCCCATGGGGTCGGGGTAGGTCCTCCAAGCCTCCCGTTTGCTGTAAACGCCATCCCTCCGTGTGCCAGGGTTCTCAGGAGCAAGCAAACAGCTCCTCCTTGGGCAGTCTGACAGGTTAACCCCAGAATTTGAAAAGGCACTAGAAGGGCACAGTGATAAGGGTGAAAGGACACAGAAGAGGCATAAGAAGCAACAGTCACCAAAACCTTCAACGGCACCTACAGTGCCACCATTCCTGCAGATTGCAAGGCACAGGGCTAGCGCCAGTCCCAAGCTTGGGGGCACAGTGCGTTTCAGGGACAGCTGCAGCGGGTGGTGCCTTCTCTGAGTGGAAGAGCACCCCTTAAGCTGGCTAGGACTTCTCTGACACCACTGCTGCCCCCACCAAGGCCAGGGGTGCTCTGGACTCCGTCCCCCCACCCCTCTCTCCAGGGTGGTTTGTGTCGTTCCTGCCCCAAAGCCCCCTCAGGCCACAGAATACAGTCAGGCTCTATTTAAACGCGTTTAAAATGGGTTGATCACAACGGAGGGGCGGGAATAAAAGGGGAGGGGAGCACGGAAGCCGCCCACCCAGCAGGTCTCAGGCTCTCAGCCTGGCAGAGGCTTTTAACTTCCTGGTGCAGGAGGGTCCCAAACCCCAAACGGCAGGTCGCGCCTCGCCACTTCCCCTTCCCCTCCCCGGCAGCAGAGGTGGCGCCCAGGAGGCCCAGCAGGTGGCGCGCGCACTCCTGCCTCCGGGTCCCTGTAGCTCAGGACCGGGTTAAGGGCAGAGGTAGACGGGCAGACACGGGGCTGCACACAGCCCCGGCGGGGTGAGGGCGCTCGGGACCCTGAGGGGGGCACGCTGACTCCTTGCTGGAGAAAAGGCACCTAGTTAGGGAGACTGGGCTGGGGGCGCTGCGAGGTGGGGCGGGGCAGGCTGAGGCAGGCGGGAAGCAGGGCAGGCAGCAGGCTCCGGTCCTGGCTCCCAAACCCGATCCCCGGGGGCGAAGGAAGCAAGCCTGGAGCAGAGCCCTCGCCCGCAGCCCTCCGCCTGCGGAGCTGCGCCCCTGTCCCGCCCTGCCAGCCCAGCCTGGGATCAGCCTCTTCGCCACCCTCCCTGGCCCAGTTCCGGGCCCTCCGCAGAGGGCGCAGATCACGGGGCCTCAGGCCGTCTTGGTGCCAGGGTCCACCTCCTTGTGGGTCCAGAGCTCCTTGTGCTGCTTGCGGCCGAACCCCTCATCGTAGTTGCCTTTGCTCTTAAACAGCTGCTGGAAGTGGGGTTTGCAGTAAAACTCGCCGTGCAGGGCCGCGTAGCTGCCCAGGCTGCGGAAGTAGAACAAGCGGGTCAGGCCGGGTCAGGGCTGAAGTCAGGGCCCAGGCAGGCGGGGCAGGGTCGCACCTCAGCTTGGTGTGGCAGTGCTTGCAGCAGAAGCAAGCGTTGTGGAAGACGAGCTTGTCGGCCACCAGCCGCTCCATGGGGTACACAGTCTTCTGGCAGGCGGCGCAGGTCTCCTTCACCTGCGCCCGAAGGCTGAAGGACTGTCGGGGGCACTCAGCCGGGGGCCCGGCCAGCACCCGCCCTCTCCTCCACCCACGACCACGCCGAGGGCCCTACCTTGGAGCGCTGCACGGTGCTGCTGCCGCCGCCGCCTTTGGTTTCCTGAGGGAGGGCGACAGTGAGGGCAGGGGCAGCTGCGGGGTGCCCTGCCCAGATCCCGGGCCAGCCACCCAAGAGCGCGCAAAGGCCGCCCCTCTCCCTTCGTGCTTCCCACTCACACGGTCACCTACATGCGAGGGGGTGGTCGGGGCGGCTCCCGCAGCCTGGAACATGGCTCTTCGGCAGTGATGGAGGCCCCGGCTGAGGCTCGCACCCGCTGGCTTCTGCAAGGGGAAGTCGCGCGGTGGGGCCCCGCGAGCCCTGCCCCCAGCCTGCAGGGTGGGGTGTTTACAGACCTGGGGCTGGGGGGCCGCGGTCGGGACTTTCCCCAAGTCATTTCCTGTTGCTCTGGGTTCCGCCACTTCCGCCCCTCACCCATCCCTTCGCCCCCCGCCCCCGCAGGGTCCCCGAGTTGGAGCCTTGCGTGGAAGAACAAGTTAGCTGCGCCGCCGGGGGACGGGAGACCCCTCCTGGGCGGCAGGGGTCGGCGCAGGGCGGGGCTGGGCGCGAGCGCCTTCCCC